AGGATATTTAAGGCCAACTGAAATAGGCTTTTATAACAAATAGAATGAAGACTGTGATCTTTCTTCTCACCAAATAAAGGGGCAAAGAATGCCTTAGTGCACTGAGATTAGTTAGCATGGGCTTGATGACCTATTCTAAAAAAAACAATGGTACAAGATGAATTTGGCTTGATCACAATGGAGAATTTCTCAGGGACCACAGAATTTTAAGACATGGAAGGTGGGGATGGCCTGGTGTTTTGGAGGAAAAGGCCAAGTGTGGATGTTGCCTGTGGAGTGGTCACATTGGTTTGCATTGACTCGTTTTATCCTATGCAAGGAGTAACAGCTCATTGCCTGGCTGCTCTTCCAGGCTAGGAGAAATTATGTTTCTTCAATCCTTTAGTCTCCCATCAGCCACATTGATACTGGAATTTTTCCCCTCTCTGCTTAGGTACCTTCATACTTTCTTGGAAAATTAAGTGGAAAAGATAGTGCTTCTTTCCCTTATGCCATCATTTTTACTGTACCCAATCTGTGACTTTAGGAGCACCAAGTATTAAGGGTAAGTCTGTGGGAAGTGCAGAGAGTGTCTTGAATAGGTAAGACCCTCCTGAAGACTGGAGAGCTAATGGGGTGAGGGGGGCTGGGAATGAAGAGATTCCACAGAGCAGGGTATCCTAGGGTAGCTAATCTTTTACTTSTACAGAATCCACTCACATTTGAAAATTAGGAATAGGAAACCACTTGATTCTTTTGTTTAATTTACTATAATATTTCATAAGTCCATATATTAGATGCTTGCTAGGAAAAAAAAAGTAATTTTTTAAATATTTACACCATGCCSGGCACAGTGACCCACACCTGTAATCCCAGCTACTCAGAAGACTGAGGCAGGAGGATCACAAGTTCAAGGCCAGCCTGGGCAACTTAGTAAGACCATGTATCAAAATAAAATTAAAAGGGCYGATGATGTAGCCCAAAGGTAGAGTACTTGTTTAGCATGCAAAGAGGCCCTGGGTTTGTTTCCCAGTACCACACATATATTCTATGGTTATGCCAGAATATAACATCAGGAAAAGCTGAGGTTGGTTRATGCAGCATGTAGCTTTTTAAAAATAAGTGTTTATATTTCTTTTCTTAGGGTTGTTTTACACTTTCCAAGTTTGGTTCTTTACCATTTCTTAGTGCTATGACTCTAAATGTCTGTAAAATGCAGATAATAGAAGTACCTATCTCATGAGGTGGTTTCATATGCGCAGACCGTTGCAGATGAAGCATTTAGTCTAGTTCCTCATGAGCGCACAAACGCTCCATACATTCAGCTATGGTCTTTTCTACTAGGAATAAATATTGATAGAATATATATGGGTAAAAAATAAAAACAAAATTCCTCTGAAGATGTAGATGTTGTGGCAAAAATCTACCTTCCAACTTACCTAGCAGCTTATTAATTGAGGTACCTACTCAAGGAAGGTAAATGTGTAAGCTGGTTAGGTAGGTAAGCCATTGGCTTCCCTTCTCCTCTATCACCAGCACAGGTGCACAAAGTGCACAAAGATCTGTTTATAAGGTACCTGCAGTAAACCTCAGTACGCCAACCTCCCTCCATAGAATAGAGAGGAAAGGAGAGCTGTCCTTTCTTTCTTATTGTAGTCACAAATGCCAAGAGTATCTGTATAAATACCTCAGATGAAAAAAATAAAATTAAAAAAAAAAGCCCTGAGTCATTGGATCCTGCTAGCAACCAGGTAAGTCACAGAGGACAGAGTGTAGAGTCCAGGCAGAGCCATTTGCCCACAGTTGCAGTTACTGAATGCACCATGCATCTGCGATCTGTGTCTTGGCTCCCAGCTTTGRGACAGTTTTCACAGTGCTGGAGGCTCTCRTTTGCATGTATATTTAAAAATATAGTATATTCATAGAAGATTTAAAGTACAGTAAGGCAAACAGATCAGCAGACAACTTCCATTGAAAAGATGTTTTAATATTCACAATCTCCAGGAGAAGGGGGCATGTCACACCTTGGTGATGGGAGGCTACCTAGGGAAGGAAGTACTGGGGTCGATCATGAGGCAGAGAAAGAGGGAAGAACATGGGCAAAGCCTTTATTTTGGTTTCCATAAGAAAGGGCAAGTGAGGCAGTGAAAGAAAGCTTGGGGTTGGCTCATTTAAATTATTCCAGTGTTCTCAGGTGAAGGGCTGTCCTTAGATGTCTGGCATTTGGCCCTGGGGTGATTAGAGCAGGTGGATGGTGACCCAGAGTGTGAGAGCCAATAAAGGAGGTGGCTGGGCTCTGGGCTCTGGACTGGTTAGTTTGTATGTGCAAGGTACACGGACGGCTGAGTTGTCTTCTCTTTTTAGGACCTGGCTCCTTCTGGGAGGGCCAGTTCCTCCAGGGTCAGCAAGGCCCCAGATGTCAAAGCATCAGAACATAGAAATAAGAGACATGAATAAATCAAAATGTTATGGCTTCATTTTTAGCCTAAGTGTTTAAGTACTTTGAGTCAAAATTTCTTTGTTCCATCCTGGGAGTGTCAGGTTCGATAACCTGGGAACCCCCAGGCTGAGCCCTCCCTTCAGTTTCACACCTCAGTCTCCAGTGTCCCACCTGGCAGCTCCCCTGGACGTCCTATAGGCTTCACAGGTGGAGGACTGAATTAGTTGCCTTTCTCTCTCGGAGATCTTCATCTGTCTGTGTTTTCTGTCACAGGTAGTGGCAGAGCTTTGTGACCATCTTCCCAGCCTAGGAATTTGTCAGATTCAATGCCTTCCTCTCCTCTATTCCCCATGCATGGTCTATCACCAAGACCTGTTGTCCCCTCTTAGCAATGTGCCTTGACATGCGTGAACTTGGCCGTGTAACTTTCTTTTCAGCATTGTGCTTTCCTCTAGACTCCCCTGTTTCTGCTGAGATCCCTGTGATGGGGTGTCTATTGGCCTGTTACCCTCTAATCATTTTGTCCTTTTCTCCCTAAACTTTGGATGACTTCCTGGTTATTACAGGTTCAAGTTCAAAATTCTGGGCCTATCCCACAAGGCCCTTCACAGACCCCAGACCCTCTTCTGACCCAGAGATGCTCCCTTACTATGGAGGGCGTCAACCACAGCGCCCCCTGGTGGCTGCCATCCCTCAACAGGCTGCCACCTTTCCCTTCTACCCAGTGAAGGTCCGTTGTCCTTATGGCCATGTTTTGTCTCTGGGAAGCCTTCTAACTCTAATCAGTTATTTTTTTCCCTGCACAACTTTGAGGATGCAGAAACAACCAAGTCAGACCCTGCCCTCGAGACTTTTTTATAGAACGAGAATCAAAGAAATAAGCAGACAAATTTGTGAGTGTTGAATTGCTATTAAAATAGGTTGTCTGCCATGACAGGTGTGTGAACAGAGTCTGGGGAGCACTCGAAAGAAAGAACTCCACCAGGAGGAATCAGGAAAGGTCCCAGGAAGTAGTATTTGAGGTAGATGTTGAAGGACGGGTTTATTGAGAAATAGAGAGGGTGGGAGATTTGATGGCTTTTTCCCCTAAGAAYTCAAAAGTGAAAAGGGTAGTGATGTGGAAAACTGCTGAAAACGGTAAACAGTGGGATATCTCCTCTCAGGTGCCCTGGATTAGGGGTTCTTGCATTTCTCAGTCTTAGGTGTGGCTCAAGGGAGTAGCCAGCCAGACCCAACTGGCTGCATTTCCAAAGGTTCATTAGATTCAGTGAAAAAAAAATTGTTATGTAGCCCATCACCCATATGAACCCCAAACCATAGCACCAAAGCCAACTGCCTGGTTGGGATGTTTTCACACTACCACCCTCTTTACAGTTAGATCAGTCATATTATTATTGCTTGAATTTGAGACAATTTCAAAACCTTCTCTCCTGGGAGTTGACTGTATTAATAGGCCTTCTCATAGTTGGGGGCCACAGAAATGTGAAACTATCCTGAGGATCTCAAAGAGCCAACCTGCCTTATATTCATCAAGCATGCTTTGAACTCACATGACCCTGGTTAAAAGCCTGGCTCTGCCCTCACTAGTGGTTTCAACTCCCTTCAGGAAGTCATTTAACCTCTTGGACTCAGCTTCCCTCTCAGTCAAGTGCAGAGTAAGATTTAGCTAACCTGGTGGGATTGTCAGCACATAATCAAATCATGTGCTACAGTGAAAGACATAGTTCCCTGCATGGAATTAGCAAATGGAAGAAACTTACTTTTGATGATGTTTTCATCAAGCTTGACCAAGCTGATTCTTACATGGAATGGAAAGATGTCTTAGGTGGACACTGAATTATCAGTGTCTGTGAACTCAGGAAGCATGTAGAGATGGGATGAGGGACAGAAATCATACCCCTTTTTCCTTTCCTTTCTTTGTCCTTGTATGGTTTCTTAAATGGTGCTAAAATGCTTTTAAAACACGCTGTCCCATGTCATTGTAGGAAAGCTGAAGTAAAGGATGGGGATTTTGATGTTCGTTTCCTGTAGCTATTTGGTTTGACTTGAATGCTGCTGTGTCTAGTCAGTTGAGATGCAGCGGATTCTTCAGTGCTTATAACACTACCTCAAATCACGCTTTTCAGATCCAGATAGGCATCCATTCTCTCTTGTTGGTATATATTTCCCCTCCTGGAGTGTTGGGTAACCTGGGTCCACGTGTGTGCATGTGTTTATTGAAAGGAAGCAGTTTTGTGATTATGGAGTTTGGGTTGTAAATTAAAAATCTATAGTTATGCTATAAAATTTACAATGGAATAAGTGTTGTGGCCAATTAGCATCACTCCCTCTTCATGGGTGATCTGAGACTAACGTCACAAACAGAAATACTTGATTGATTTACTGCTAAAACAACTTCCCTCCGTGAGGATGGTAGTGGCCTGACCTCTACATGTTTATAAGGAGTCAGAGAAGTAGAGATGAAAAACCCATGCAGAAAATGAATCTGTGTCAATCGTCACTCTTCATTTCTTATCAGTCAGACTGTCACTGTTGGTTCACTGTTGTCATTTCTGTACTTTCCTCTCCTACACCCATCTAGGAAGAACGTTGGTGAAAAGCACAGAAACCAGTGACTTGTGGACTGTGGGATTTCCATGGAGAAAATAGAGCATCACCACTCACCTGGGAACCCTCTGCACCTCCAAGCACAGGCTGGGCACTGGAGTGAAGACCAGCTCAGGGTGCTTCCAGAGGACCACCGCAGAGGTGTGGAGGGGGGCRGAGGAAGGACAGAGAGAGCATGGAGCTAAAGTTTCACAACCGGAACCTCAGAACTGTGATCCTCCAAGGAGAGCGCTACTTGAAGAAAAGAAAAAAAAAAAAAAATAAGTCGAATGGCTTCTCAGGGATTTTGTTTTCCGTGCACATATAAGCCATAGTTACAGTACAGTGGCAGTATTTAGAGCACTCGGGTTTCAGTTCTGTTCAATGTGAAAGAGGAATCAACTGACATTCATTGCTGTTCCGTAACTAGTGTAAAATATGTATATGTTTATCTTTATTTTTATAATATGCAAATACATTTAAATTTATACCGTTTGAAGCTTCTAGCGTTAGTTAACACTGGGTGCAATATTTTGCATGAGAACTGTGCCAAGATGGGGCTGATTTCTTATTTTAGTATAAGACATTTTTTTTTTGTTCTTTTCTTTATTCTTTAATCGTCTTCTCAGATTTAAAAAAGAAAAGAAAAAAAGATGTCTGTGTATCTGTTAGCCCACGGATCTAATGTTGCTTCGTAGATTGCCAGTCATCCGCAGGATCCTTCAACATGCATATCAGGCAGTGTCCCTTCCCATCTTTATCCAAGGTCCCTGCCTGTAAGTCACTGGGCCTGGTGGCAGAAGCATTCCTGTTCCTTACCCACATATCATTGGTGTCGAGGCAGAGACGGGGCACTCTTCTGGAACAAAGAGTTCATGGAAAACCTCAGTTAGTGTAGCTTAAGATCATCGGGAGTCTGTTTTGAATCATGCAAGGGGCTCTGCTAATTATTACCTCTCCTTTCTAGAACAGGTCCAGAATTTAGCAGAGCACTTGGTGAGCCCTCCAC